AAGCTTGAGTTACAATATTGAAGGATTCTATGGGCAAAATATTGAATGGTGCAGGAAACATAAAAAAATGGTGGAAGGAATATAGAGTCACTGTACCAGAAAGAATTAGTTGATGTTGATCCATTTCAGGAGGTGGCATATGAGCAAGAACCAATGGTATTGAAGGTGGAAGTTGAAGCTGCAGTGAAGGAATTGGTGAAGAGCAGGGCTTCAGGAATTGACTGAATACCCATTGAGATGTTTCAACAAACAGATGCCATGCTGGAGGCACTCACTAGTCTATGCTGAGAGATTTGGAAGATTGCTACTTGGCCAACTGACTGGAAGGGATCTGTATTGTACCCATTCCAAAGAAAGGTGATCCCACAGAATGTGGAAATTATTGAACAGTATCATTAATATCACATGCAAGTAAAATCTTGCTGAAGGTAATTTCAAAAACAGTTGCAGCAGTATATCAACAGAGAACTTCCTGAAATGCTAGCTGGATTCAGAAGAGGATGTGGAATGAGAGATATCGTTGTTGATGTCTGATAGATCTTGGCTGATAGCAAAGAATACCAGAAAGATGCTTACTTGTGTTTTATTGACTATGCAAAGGCATTCGATTGTGTGGATAACGTTGAGAAGAATGGGAATTCCAGAACACTTAATTATACTCATGGGGAACTTGTACATAGACCAGGAGAGTGTCATTTGAACAGAACAAGGGGATACTTCATGGTTTATAATCAGGAAGGGAGTGCGTAAGTGTTGTATCCTTTCACCATTCTTACTCTCAATCTGTATGCTAAGCAAATAATCGGAGAAGCTGGGTTATATGAAGAAGAACATGGTATCAGGATTGGAGGAAGGCTCATTATCAACCTACAATATGCAGATACAACTTTGCTTGCTGAAAGTGAGGACGACTTGAAGCACTTACTGATGAAGACTGAAGACTATAGTTTGTAGTATGGATTGCATCTCAGCATAAAGAAAACAAAAGTCCTCACAACTGGACCAATAAGCAGCATCACAATAAATAGAGAAAAGATTGAAGTTGTCAAAGATTTCATATTAGTTGTTTCCACAATCAATGACAATGGAAGCAGCAGTCAGGACATCAGATGACATGTTGCACTGGGCAAGTCTGCTGCAAAAGACCTCTTTAAAATGCTAAAGAACAAGGATACCTCTTTGAAGACGAAGGTGTGCCTAACCCAGTCACTTCATATGCATGTGAGAGTGGGACAACGAATAAGGAAGACTGAAGAAGAGTTGATGCTTTTGAGTTGTGGTATTGGTGAAGAATACTGAAAGTACCATGGCCTGCCAAAAGAACAAACAAGCTGCCCTGGAAGAAGTGCAGCCAGAATGGTCTTGGAAGTGAGAATGTCCCGACTTCATTTGACCTACTTTGGTCATGTTGTCAGAAGGGACCATTTCCTGGAGAAGGATATCATGCTTTGCAAAGTGGAGGATCAACAAAAAAGGGGAATGCCATCAATAAATGGATTGATTGACAAAGTGGGTGCAGTGATGGGCTGAGGAATAGCAAGGATTGTGAGGCTGGCACAGGACCAGGTGGTGTTTCGTTCTGTTGTACATAGGGTCGCTATGAGTTGGAGCCAACGCGATGGCACCTAACATCAACAGCAGCATGGCTTGAGTACCCTCCTATGTATAAAGAAGATGACATAATCCAGGGTCCAGACAGACTGTAGAGCTTAAGCCAGATTTGCTCCTAGTTCTAGCCAGATATATGGGCCCAAGAAGAGTGTAAATCATACAGTATGTATTAGCGTACTATATGCAAATATAGTATGTGGTGGGGAATCTGGGGTGTGACACTTGGGTCTAGAGAGTATAGGAGTCAAGTAGTTACTTAAGTATGATAAAAGTTATTAAATGGAGTAACACATCCTTTACTAAATGGCTACTCTTAAAAAGATTTTCAATTAAAATCAGCTATCAGATGCATGCCTGCTGTTATCTTTAGGGTTTTAGTAAATGCAGGAAAATGAGAAAATGAAAGTAAAAAGATTGGAAAAGAGAAGACTTTCTGCCTGTGGTAGGATTCCATTTCTAGAAAACCCAAGAGATTGAAAAAAATATCACAATTAAAGAAAAGATTGTGGTAAGGTGGCTGGATATGTCAAATATATACAAATCTTTTTTTTTTTTTTTTTTCTGTACTAGCAATAAGAACTTAGAAATGGAAAAAGGAAAAATACTTTATTCACAATGGTGCAAAAACCATAGGATACATGGAAATAAATTTAATAAGAATGGTATAGGGCCTTTATGAAGAAGACTAGATCTTATTGAAAATTATAAAATAAGTTCTGAACAAATGGAAAGCTTTATCATGTTCTAAAACATGTCAAGAGGGACCAGTCCCTGGAGGATATCACATTTGTAAGGTAAAAGGTCAGTGAAAAAGGGGAAGACCCTCAACAAGATGGGTTGATACAGTGTGGCTGTGACTCCTAACATATCACATATAAAAATAAATTCCAGGTGAATTTATTTAATATATACATATAATAATATAAAAGAGAAAAATACAAAACTCTTGCAAGAAAATCTAGGACAGTGTAGGAGTGAAGAAGACCTAACAGATTGGAAATCCAGAAGCTCTTAAATGATACATCTATTTGACTGTGTTTGTGCAATATTTGTATGACAAAACATACTGTAAGCCAACTCAGTTAACAAATGATGGAACTGGAAAATAATATTTGTGGTACAGGAAACAAAGACTTAACATGAGAGAGAAAGAGAAAAACCAAGGAGGAAAAATGAATATAAGAAAACAGTTCACAGAAGAGCAATCACACCATATTTTCACACATAACACACCTATGTAAATAATAAGCACACACATATAACACTCATAGCATGCATAGGAAACTAATACATGAGGGAGTTGTGTGGTATGCAAAAACTTACAATGCATGTGGTATTTTGTAAATATACTATATTTGTTATAGGAAAAGGTTCTGAAACTCACTAATAGGAAAATGCAAATTAAAGTGATATAACAACTAGATATCTCTACAGACTAGGAAAGAAAATACTTATTGCCAACAGGCATATTGCTGGTGGAAATGTGAATTGATACAGCCTTTTGGAAAGCAGTCTGGTAATGGTTAAATACATACACCCTTCAGTCCGTCTGTCCCATGCCTGAGACTGACTTCCTTATGAAATGCAAGTATAGTTTATGAGAGGATGTGTTCAAAGGTGTTTTTGCAAGCATTGTTCCTAGTTAGTGAAAACAACTTAAAACAAAGCGGTACTCAGATACTAGAAGGGGATGAGTGAATGAATTAGGATATTTTCAAACCAATGAATATGACCCAACTACTAAAAAAGTGTGTATTGGTGCTATGTAAGTTGACTTTCATGAAGAATATTTGAGAAAAACAAAATAAGAAAAAGTGTAAATAATACCCCATTTTGAAAAGCAGTTGGATTTTAAAAAACCATCATATGTGTATGTATATGTGATTGAGTTATAACTAGTTGTAATGATTATATGAGCATGGAGGAAATATAGAAATGACATATATAAATGGGTTGTTGAAATGGATTACTTGAGGATGGAAGTGTAAGGTAAGAATAGGGAGAAGGTACCTGTGGTGGTTACGTTTGTGTGTCAACTTGGCTGGGCTTGGTTCAGCGGCTGGGCAGCTGGTGGTAGTTATTCCCCATGATGAGACTGGCAGTCAACTCCATGGTGGGATCTACCACAAGCAGCTGAGT